TCCCCCCCCGGGCCCCGCCCCTCGCTCCTGCCCTCCCCTGGGCCGGCGAGCCTTTTGCTCCGCCCACTCCGGGCAGTCTGCTCCCCGGCCCCGAGTTGTCCTCCCAGCGGGTCCGCGGGCCCTGCGCCGACTGTGCAGGCTGTGGCGCTCTGCCGCCACCGCGTGGCCAGAAGAGGGACGTGTCAGTGGGCTGGGCTGCTTGCCTGGGAACAGCTTCAGTTCGGGTGTCTTGGAACCTGACTTAGCTGAGCCGGGTGATATAAAGAATGAACCAGGCAAGGTTGAGCCCACTGTGGATTTGTAGGCGGTGCCAGCCAAGAGGAAAAAGACTCGGCTTCCAAAAGACTAAGGTTTCCTGATCCTGAAGTTGCACAGATAGAAGTCTCTGGAACATGAGAACTCTGCTGTCACATGACTTCTGGAGAGGCACATGTTAAGAAAGATGAAGGAGCCCTAGCTGGTTTGGCTCAGTGGATAGAGTGTTGGCCTGCGGACTGAAGGGTCCTGGGTTTGATTCCAATCAAGGGCACAGGCTGGATCCCCTGCTGGGGCGTGCAGGAGGCAGCCAATCAATGATTCTCTCTCATCAGTGATGTTTCTGTCTCTCTCTCCCCCTCCCTTCCTCTCTGAAATCAATAAAAATATATATTTTTTAAAAACCTAATATTACCATAGATTATTTAAAAAAAAAAAGAAAGAAAGATGAATTATAATCTGAAGCATCTGGAAGTTAGTTGAAAAACAGCAGGCTAAAAAACAATGTGTATAGTTCACTTCATTCATTCCACCAAAAGGTATTTATGGAGCACCACATGCATTTGGTTCTGGGGAAACAGCAGTGAACACGATTTTCACAGAGCTTATGTCACCTTGAGGACAGATAGATGATAAGCAAGTAAACAAGTAAATAAAGAAAATATAAGCTAGTTATGGGATTTCATATTAGTTGTACTTAATTCTTTGCACAATGAAAACATCTTAAAGGATGTAAACACTATGAACAATTTTAGGTGTCACTTTCAAAAGGTTTAGAAGTAATTTTCTCTTTTATCTTGCTTCTGTGTTTTATAATTTGCCCTTTACTTTGAAGGAACTATCCTGGCAGACCCCTGACCACTAGTTCCCTGACAACGGAAGTGCCAGGTTCCTGAATCTTCATGATTTAATATCTCCCACCCTCTGAAGTCCATGTGTCTTACCAAGGTTTCCTGTGTACTAGACCCCTCTTGCTAATCCTGCACAATTAGCATGGTGGTAACCAATGGGTGTGATGTTCCGTAGGATGTCCAGGTCCTTGAGGACTGTACTAGACAGATCACAGAGCTGGCACAATGGCTGTGTACTACATGATTAGGTCTTGTCTGCAGTAGTCTATCAAACATTCCCCTGATTTCTGAAGGGGCCAGACTGATTGGCAAATTAAATAGGGATGTGATAGGACAGTGGTCGGCAAACTCATTAGTCAACAGAGCCAAATATCAACAGTACAATGATTGAAATTTCTTTTGAGAGCCAAATTTTTTAAACTTAAACTATATAGGTAGGTACATTGTTATTAACTTAATTAGGGTACTCCTAAGTTGGCCTTTGCTAAAAATGTCCTGTTCGCTGAGGACAACCCCTTTCAACTCTCCCATCCACACTCCTCTTGTATACTTGTTTCAGATAGACGAGTGTGGATGGGAGAGTTGGAAGGGGTCGACCTCAGCAAATGTACCTCAAAACAATGTACCTCCCCCGCGCTGTGTATCCCAAGGTCGCCCGACCGACACCCCCCACTTCAAAATAGACTCGCCCAGGCCGAAAACCGACTTCTGAGCATGGACCACGAAGTTTCAATTGCACTGTACGTGTGCACCCGCATGTGGTATTTTGTGGAAGAGCCACTCTCAAGGGACCAAAGAGCCGCATGTGGCTCGTGAGCTGTGATTTGCCCACCACTATGATAGAATGACCATTCCTGCATCCTTTCGGTCTCTAGTAGTGACATTGATCTTCACCATCACCACCCTCATTTCCTTGGATGAAGTATTGGGTTTTATTTATTATCTCAAGTTGGTAGAGCAGTTTCAGAACCTTTCACTTGGTCGCCCCCACCATGAGAACTGAAGGCTAAGACCTGATGTGGAGCTTGCTCCCGCTACCCTATATATATTCTCAGGTGCTGGGGAAATGACCACTGGATGGATCTATAGACCCGTGCACCCATTGTAAGCTGGCTATTGTGCAGCACTTTGCTCATTATCTGACCTCCATAAATGCCCACTCTCACAGAGGGTCCATGATAATACTTTGGGTTTCTGGGTAACCAGATCCTTCCAGTTCCTGCACAATGCCTGGGTATTTCTCTTTCCCCAACATGTTGTTAGCTGAGAAGATGATTGTAGGTATTAGAATAATCATTACAGTAAATACCTGTTTCAGTGTCACTGGGTCCTTCTTCCTAGGGTCCCCACCCACCTTTTAAGTCATGGGCTCTCTGTGGTCTGGTTCTGGAAATTGACTCAGATCTGAGAACTGAGCAAGAAGGATGCCTTTTTGTTGAGGCAACTGCCCTCAGACTCCTGCTCCTCCATTCTTGCCTTCTTCTGCTTATAGATGTTAAACAGCACCCTGTTGGCTACCCATCGATTTTTCCCTCAGGGACACCTTGTACTATTACATTCCTTCACAACCTCCTGTATATCAAGCCCCTAGGAGCCCCCCTGACCTTGCCATCTGTTATAGCAATGACTAAAGCCTGCAGCCTCCAGACTTCTGGAAGTTATAGCCACTGCCTGGCTTCTATTACCTCTGTGACTCCCTGGATAGTATCTGGCCCGGCCCTGTGTCTCGTACCATCATCTCTGGCCTGCACTCTGAACTCCTTAGTGATGCAGGTGCTCCTCTCACATTGCCTATGTGTGTAGTCTGTCCTTTGATCCTCCTCTGGAACATTACCCTCTCCCTGGTCTCCTGGCCCCACACAGTAAAGCACTTCAGCAAGCCCACTTCCCTCCTTCTGCAGCGGCCTGAGCAATTCAGCTGCCTTCCTCCCTGGAGATTTCCCTTGGCTGCCTCATCCATAATATGCCTTCTCCCCAGGGACAGCATGCATCCAATGACCAGTCAACCTGGGGAAAAGGGGTGGGGGGTGGGGTACAAAGGCCTGGCCACTGTACTTCAATTGAGGACAACACTGCAGGGCCATCCCAGCTCCAGAGCTGCCATGGGTTGGCTGAGAAGCCCCCTTCTGCCTCCGCCCAGTCCTCTTTCCTTTACTCCCTTGTAGGTGTCCCTGAGGACCACACCCACCCCCTCAACAACCCTCCCGCACAGATTTAGCTCAGAGGCTGTTTCCAGGGAGCCCAACTTAAGGCAACTGCATTTTCCCCAGAAGTGGAAGCTGCTTTGATACAGAAAGTCTTTCATGCACACCTCCATGAGGAAGTTCTAGAGGCTGAATACTGAATTAAAGGAGAGACTTAACTCTGAAGAATTATGAGGCATGATCTGTCTTAGAACCAGGTGTAGACTGCTGATCTCGATTCGGGCTGAGAGCCAGATGAGGTGGCCACAGCATGTGATACGGGCTGCAATGGGTGGGTGGTACTGTCACTGAAGTGGCCTTTCATTATTATTTTTTTAATATGCCAGGCATGACTGTTCCAAATGTTGGAAATGACTGGTTCTGAATCTGAATTCACCCCAACATAGACAATTGCAACATCTTCATTTGCATATTCTACTCTCACAAAAATTGGCTCAAGATTTTCTTCATCCACATGTTTATCTTCCTTTACTTTCTTCTTTTGTCAACCCAGCCCTTCTTTCCGTTTAACATGAACAGACATGCCATTTTATTTATTTTTTCCCCCTTGGAGAGAGTGGTTACACCAGGTTTCACCATAGAATTTTTATAACTCACCACCTGGATTGTTAATGCACCAGTCACCACCAGCTTGCTGGCTGGTTTCCCTGCCTCCAATTTATCCCTCTTGTCTAAACAGCAACCAACCAGTTCCTGGTTAAGCGGGGGAGGAGGGGCACCAAGATGATTCAGTATTGTCCATCTAGCTCCAGGCTGGGCCCTGAGGAAGGCCACAGTTTGGCTGTGGTCTTGCTCACTCACCAGAGATGAGCTTTCCAGAGATTCCAGGTGAGCACTTTTCTTTATTGCACAAATAAAATATTAATACCCCAGTAAAGCAAAACCAAAAGTGAAAACCACCCTTAATCTCACTACCCAAAGATAACCACTGTTAGCATTTTAATGTGTAACCCTCTTGAAATGCAAGATTAAAATTACTAAAAATATGTACTACTTCGATAGGATGAAATGTTTCTTACCATCATTAATGTGCATTCCTTTCATTCTTCATGATGTAAAACACTTTTTCATGCTTATATGTTGGATTTCTTCTTTAGCAAATTGCCTGTTCATGCCCTTAACCCATTTTTCTATTAAATATTCATTTTCATTAGAGTGAGCTATAAAAATGTTTTATATATGTAATAATTGCCTGTTGTGTATGTAGCTTGTTTGTCTCTCAACTTTGTTACTTCATGTATACATGTATGCATCATTTTTAAAATTTTTATATAGACAAATCTGTCCAATTTTGTATTGTGGTTTCTGCTTTTGATGTCATATTTACCTCAGTCTCAATCCCAAAAATTACATATTTACCAATTTTTCCTAGTATGTCAATGACTTTGTTCTTCCTTAAATCTACCAGGAATTTATTTCAATGGAAGGTAGGACAGAAAAATATAGTCTAAAATATTTTCTGAATGGTTAGGCCAATGGCACTTTTACGACAAATAGCTACATGTGCCCATCCCATGGGGAGGGCCAGCAAGGTAACTGCTGTCCCAGCAACTTACTGACTAACCCAAACTTTCCTACTGACTTGAAGTGTCACCGTTTATATACACTGAATTCTCTTAAATAC